TCCAACTTGTCGAGGTGGACCCAGGAGCCTTAGAGGCCTCAAAATACTGTGAATATTCGCGTGTTTGTTCCGGCAAAAAAAGACGACGCCGTCCATAGAATTTGTCAACCGGAAAGAATACTCATTAAAAAGCGACAAAATACTTGCAGTGAAGAAGACAACTAAAAAACTAACAATGAGTGAAGGAAGTACTCACTTTCAAAAGAATGTACTTTCGGAATGGCCCTGGAGCCGACGCGTGGTGAAGCGCTCTGGTCTATGACTTTCTATTGGCTTGCTTCATTTTTAAGAGTATATCCCGAGTCTATCCGGATTAAAAAAGGTGCATTTAGTAGCTTAAACGGCTACGAAAACAGGAAAGTGAGCACCTCTGCTAAACTGCCCCAGAGTCGAGGAAATTCCGGACTGGCAGCCCCAAAGAGAAAAACCCGGCCTAACTACTGGGGCCGGGTTGACAAATTACTCCAGGCGCGAAAAACAGCAATAGTAATTTGATCTATTGAAAAAGCATCTTTTGGTCGGTGCAAGAATTTTAGCCATGCAAATCGACGCGGCAAAAGACGGAGTACTGGGCAGAAAAATGGGAAAAAAAGTATTTCGGACTTCGGAAGTGAGGGTCGAAGAAGGCCCGAGAACAGTAAACGGTACCTTTACGGAGGCCGAACGATACCTGAACTCACGTCGGACACGGAAAGCAAGTAGCCTTGAAAAAAAGATGGCTCTTTATCGTCAACTCTCACATCACACTACATGCGTTGGCACCCAACTCGACAATAATACCGAACAAATTTGGATAAATTGGGAACGCGCTGGAAGCTCAGCAACTGCCAAAAAAACAAGGAGCAGATCAAATGAAATACTACCAAAGATACTCTAATCAGCAGGACCGACTACTGCCACATGCGCAGCATCGAAACCCGACCGGATACACTAGCCGACATGCATTCTGGAAAATCGGTCAGTGCAAGACAATAATTGTGGCAAGGCACCCTGAGCAACTGCGACCCAATTCATGAACGGGACAAATGAAAATGATGATCAGCCCTGGAGCACAAATTACGTAGAGTTGTGATTCGCTCCTACACCTCCTACACTCCACTGGATACCTCCCGCAAACCCCTCATTTGCGATCGGATGCAAAATCCAACGAATGTAAATTTAGTTTCTATGGCCAGATTGCTAGGAACGGGTCGTCGCGTGTCCCTCGCTTGCCAAAATACGTCCGCCCCTGCGCGCAATTTTCCTGAATGAAGATAAAATACCGGACCAAACCTGTTACCTTGTGAGGCCCCGGTAAGAAAAGCCCTAACGTACGACCGGAAATTGAAGAATGGTGCAAGCGGAGCCTAATTCGCCAGGATGAAGAAAAAACAAAGTGTAAATCACGGTCACGGAATGGTTAAATAATTTCGGATTGAAATTTCTACTAGGAATTGGATACATGGGACGCATGCGATCCGGACGAAAGCGCTGGTAAGTGCTAATATCAGCGACCGGGTTATTTTTATCATGTCTAAATTTCATTGTGTCGATATTTATTTTGCGGAAATTGAAATTTGCTAGACTTTCGAAATTTCTTCGAACAAATTTAAATTTGGGGAAAATGAAATTTCGACAAAAGGAATTAAAAAATTAAAATGTTAAAACAATTTTTGGTAGAGTCTATTTTGAAAGGATTCGCGATCCTTATCCAAATCTTCTATTCTGATCTGGAATATTTTCTAGATGGACGTCGGCACCTCGTTGTGCGAAAATTTTGCGTTTAGCTACGCACGATCCACGTCGATTCACACTGCACGGTGCATGAGTGGTTCAGAATTGATCCAAGCACCGAACTACACGTTGAAAAGTGGCGTGATTCCCGTGGGGTTACGATCAATGGTAGATTTTTAATACCTTTTCTAAGAAACGGCTTTTTTTAGTCGAGCTAACCAGAGCATAACCAGAGCTAACCTTGTGGTATGAAAAAGTTGGGAGGGAAGATCAGTTCTACGAAGATCTCGGTACGTTAAGGATTTATGCTTACTGTTTTATATTAAAGGGGCAGCCATGGTAGGAAACAACCTTTAAACTACGTTGGAGTGGCATCGAGAGCTAGTTCGTCGAAAATTAAAAAAATTCCTGCTGTCGACAACGACCTTTTCGGTATTCCACTTTTTGAGATTTCAGGTTTACGAGACCCTCAAAGAATTTGCGGCATATGCACTTGCCATACAGTAAAATTTCGCCAAATTGATTGTCGACACAATCAATTTCGACAATATAATTTTCAATAACATGAAAATAAGGCCCTTTAAACAGTTTATTTAAACTTTTCCAGTTCTATTCTAATTACATCCATTTCAGGTCCCCTACCCTGGCAGCAAGGCTTGTTAGCTCTACAAAAGCTGTGGCACTGTTATGCGTCGGCATGGACCTGACCAAGAACAGCACAACCGCCAAGACCTCAAAGATTTTTCGTGAATAAATGGACCTATATTTTCCTTCCCTTTTTTGCCTCAAAGTATTGCGCTCAAGAACCTCTTCCGGCCCCTCAGCCACTATCCAGAATTGGCCGAAAAATTCAATAGCCCTGTCGGCGGCGCGTTGATAAGCGGAGGCCTCCTCTCCGAGCTTGTTTTTGAAATTTTTGGCCTCAAACTTACGTTAATACCAGATTAATACGTTTTGCTATTGACTTTGACAACTCAGCAACCACCTACCGTAATTCCTCCCAAATACTGAATTTGCATATAATTTCCCGGACTCATAGTTTCGAAAACCATTTTCCGAAAGCTATATTTTAACAATATTTTTTTATTTAATATCATTATTAAAAATAGGTTTAGTTAAAGTATTTTTTATCACAAAGTCAGAATTTCGAAAATTCCGCCCTGCGACGAATAGGAAAAGTCCACAAACACATGTAAAGCAATGCACATTGCTCAAAATTCTGAGTTTCGACAAAATTCGTTTCGAAAAGTTACATTCCGGAAAAATCAATTTTTGAAAACTGATACTGGTTATATTCAAGGAAAATAAGAGATTTAGTTGATTTTTTGTGTAATTTGCGATTTTTGAATGCCGCCCGTTCAAAACATACCAGTTTTATTTAGATTAACCCCCTCAAACCTGGGTGATTCTACCGACATCACGATTTCATTGATGAATCGTCTGAAGGTTTGAAGACTTTCAAAAGCCTTTTGATATCTCAACTGCACAGCAAATGCGCTTGTATACTGAAAATTCAGCTTCAAAACTTCGAGAGAAAGAAAAAGAGGCTGGTGACTAACACAAAACACCTCCCGATGAAAAGCAGAGGCATAGCAAGCCAAGCCCCCCTGGAAAATGAAAAATGGGCTGCTTCCAAATTTTAGCAACTTTCCCTATAGGCCGGATCAAGCTTCAAGCGATTCAACTATTCCGGAAACCAGCGATAGAATTGGAGGATAAAATTTATAAGAATTCAAGAAGATCCAAAACTTGGTCGCGATTATCCCGGACCGTCAACCCAAGAAATCCTGACAGACCGGATTTACCCTCTATTCGAAAAATGTGAATGTGTAAAACCAATGCAAATAATGAATTAATCGGAGCAGATTGTCCGCGAATGTACAAATTCCATGGCCGCAAAACGGCGCAAGATGGCATTGAAAGCAATACCTCGTGGGGTTTCCGTCTTATTTCGTTGAATTCGGCCCTAAATGTTCTTAAATGCGAGATTCGCTGCCTCGCCCAAGAACGGAGAAGGGTGCGGATCGCTGAACGACAAATCCTGAGCCTGAGCTATCGCTAACTTTTTCAAATAATCTGAGAAGTCGGCATAGGCACATCACTTCCGAAATAGAATTAGCCCCAGGGAACGCAAAAACCTGCCTGAAGAAGACAGCAAGAAAAGCGTTACAAAAACTGCAAAACTGGCCCTGACGCAGAACTAGCCTGATCACCGGAGTTTTTCGGATCAAAGCGTCTCCGAGAATCTGCATGAAAGCAACGAGGAGCCCATCAAGAGAATTCAAGCATGAATGAAACTCTATTCAAACCACAATACAACTGCACCATCGGAAAAAAATTACCACCACTGGAACAAATATAACGACTAATATTTATCTCCGTTTCAAGGGTTGCTACATCAATTTCGAAAAGCCCGGTCAGCCGTTGGGAAATACTATTTTTTCAATCTCATTTCGAACGGAAGGCCTGTAGAGGGACCATTAGAGGAAGAATGAAACTCCAAAGTGCGAGCCAAGGACCCAGCGAGAGCGTCTTTGAATTTGCGGCTAGCATCAGGAAAACCGCTGATGAAGTCACCGCTGAAGTTCAAATGCAACACGCACTCCTGGAGCGATGACGGCCATGGTTGATCCGGTAACTTCGCAAACGGCACGATTTCTTGGCACTTAACTCGCATCAGCTAATGATACTAGCCAGAGAGGCGGAAATAAAAAAAGCCCTACGCGAAAGTTTGCTACAACCATTTTAAAAAGCCCGGTCAGCCGTTAGGGAATACAATTGTTCTTTTGTCGAACGGAAAGCCGTGAACTATCGAAACCAAATTATTTTTTTGAAGATTGACGAATGGAAACTACAGTTTTTGGGCTGGCTAAAATCGACATCTAAGCACCTTCCTAGATTTGTGGGATTTCTGAAGCGATAAAACGACGGAAGGGCGACGTAGCAATTGTAGCCCCCGTAACCGAAACTGATAGAAGCAAGCGAAGCCGACCGAGAAGTTCCCTAAAATCAGGAGAAAATCGTCAAAAGACACTCAGAATCGCCTGGTACTCAACAACCACCGAAAAAGCGTGCCGAAGACTGTACAAATAGGAAAAGCTAACTCGAGCTCGAAAACGGATTAGCTGCTCAACTCAAAAATCAAAAATTCGAAAAAATGCTTAGGAAGAATGAAAAATGAAAAAAAATGAAATTCGACAAAAACGATGGAAGAATGAGCGAATTACGTTGCTAAACCTTTTACGGCATTAAAATCACCGTGTCTCACCGCAAGACCCTTTGAACCCCAATTTTTCCGAATTCCTCAGAGAAATCGCGGAAATAAAGTACCGTAAGACGCAAAAACTAACAAAAAATTCCAGCAGGACAATACCCATGAAGCAAACGGATACCAATCAACTAAAAGGACCTGGGTTAGGGCGACCTACACGTCGAGAGCTGCTGGCTGGTTCGAGTTACCGCTGTGCGACAAAGAAGGGCTCAAAGCCATGATTCCCGCAAGATACCTATTGGAATAACCCGGAAAACTGAAGCATCCTTTTAGTCAAAAAATGCAATTTAAAATGATAAAACAAAGCATTAGCCAATTCGAAAACGAACGAGGCAACAAGCTGACCACTGTATTTTTTTAAGAAACAATGCCGCTTTATCAAATCGGAAAAGTCTGAAGAATAGAGAATTTCGCTTGTTCCACAGCAGATGGCACGGACCACCATGAAGCTACGAAAAAAAGCGTTCGGAAAATCGCAAAAATCTTGAAGAATTTTGATGAAACCCGTAGAAGATAGATTGGATTAAAAAAATGACTACTTCTGTCTACAGGCACGGGCCTGGAAAGCCGCCTTATAGCTGGAAGAACGTTACGTTCTTAATGGAAATCCCCATGAACGGTGAGACACCGCAACTTATTAGAGGCCCATATACTACCGGGGAAGTGGAATCAGAAATCTTATGTGGAAAAAATAGGAAATTTTATGCAGCGGGGACAATTGAGAGAGAGAGAGAGAGGGAGAGAGGGAGAGAAAGAGAGCTAGAGAGAGAGAGGGAATGAGAGAAGAGAGAGAGAGAGAGAGAGAGAGAGAGAGAGTGATATATCAAAAGAGGTACTTGTGATCCACTTGTTTACAGTATTTCCTCTAATCGAACCCAATGGGTTCTATTTTTGCCATCAACCCAGGCTTTTCTGTTGTATTAGAGCTGGGTGATACATTTTTTCTGATTTTTAGCAATTACAACGTTTGTAGCAGTTCAAACTGCTCCTACCCACCCTGGAGAAGAGCATAAACCGAAGCTTTCTTTGCATTTTTGCTTCTTCAATATAACATTAAAATATTCTTTGGGAGGGGAAGTTGAAAAAAGTTTACTACAGGGTGTCGCAGGATTATCCGGACAAAACGAAAAAGTCATTTTTTCGCCTTTAACGCTGTTTCTTCGAACCTAATGTTTTTCATATGAGTTTTTGAGGCGTTTTCAATGTTCTGAGCAAAAAAAAATTTTTCGAAGTCACATTATTAGCTTCAGAATCAAGCGTAGGACGCGGTAAGATTTTTCACCTCTTAAATACCACGAAACTTGGGGCAAAGATTCAAAAAGTGTTCCGACATTTTTCTGGGCAAGATATGACGTCTTCTGGCAAAACGGACGTGTTTGCGGCAAGGTTTGGTCATGTCAATGATTATTTTCTAATTTAATATCAATTTCCTTAGCATTGCTGATAAGGGTGTTTCGAAGCTTGCTCGTGCTCAAGCTCCTCAGAAACCAAAGTTAACTTGGCATAAGTTGCTTGTACATAATTGTTACTGTAGTTATTTATGTTTTTATGCGTTGAAAAGTATCTTATCGGGTTTTTAGGGTTCCTCCGTGCCAAATCTTGTAAGGTAAATACCGCGGCGCGTGACTTTATTTCATCTTTTTTTTGCTTGCTGATTTTTTCCTAGAGTCAACCTAAGGTTTTTGGGCCGGGCGTTGCATGAACTTATCATTACCAAGCTCTTTCTATGGTTTCTTCGTTATTCGGCTTATATTGAAACTTTTATAGCGTCGGAAACAGCATGCGTTTTGAGCGCTTGCCAGATGGCAGAAATTAGGTTCAAACTTCTTCGATTTTTTACAAACCGATATGTTGGAACCTCGCGCAATTTTCTTTGCCAGCACCTCAAAAATACCTCAAAGATTGATAGGAGCTACGCGGTGTGAACATAAAACAGGAAAAAAAAATAGGAAGCAATGGCATTGAAAGTTTGTCCGGATAATCCTGAGACACCCTGTAGTCGTAATCTTAGGCTTCTTAAAATTTACACAAATTTTCTATACGATTTTTTGAGGTGATGTGATGCCGGAGCACGAAAAACGGAGACAGTAAAGCAGCAATCGTGGAGACCTATGGAAGTGTTTTGCGCCCTAGGTTGGTTTATCTTCCGCTCGACTGAATTCACGGCAGGATGAACGTTAAAAAAATTTTGAAATATTAGATTTGTTTTACAATTTCAAGACATTTTCAGAATACGTCATAAGCACCGCGGCCATGCCGTTTTCCATGAGGTTCCAGTATGCCCAAGAGCTAAAGATCAAAATATTCGAATAATAAACGAAAATCTCATAATGGCTTTTCGTAATATATATGCACAAAAACAAAGTATCTCTTTCCCCCTCTCTCTCTCTCTCTCTCTCTATCTATCTCTCTCGCTTTTCTCTCGCACTCTCGCTCTCTCTCAATCTCTCTAGCCCTGCCACTTCTTTCTCGACCTCTCCCCTTTGATATTTTTTCTTTCCATCGTTATCTACAACGAAAAGGGCGTTTCTACATATGAAATCGAAACTTTGATTATTTTTGGGGTGCTTTTCCCCTGGAACACCTCATTCCCTTGCCAGCCGTTCGGGTGGTAGCAAAAAATGGCGAGCAATCAATAGCCAATGCCCCGGGGGCGAGCGCCAATGCAACATTTCACCGCTGTACACTCCGTTTCTTTCAGAATTTCCGAATTCGTAGATTAAAAAAATCCCACGAATTTTAGCATCTGACACTAAAAAAACTCAGCTCGCTTATTCTCCTGCCGTTCTCTTGGCCTTTCTGCTGTTTGTTCTCCTGTCTGTGTTCCCCTAACTTACATGGTCTTTCTTTAGCCGTTTCGCTAGATGTTCGTAACTCACGCTATCTATCTCGCTCGCTCTCATTCACTCCCTCTCTACCCTTCTATCTCTATCTCTATCTCTCGATCTCTCTATATCTCTCTTTCTCTCTCTCTCTCTCTCTCTCTCTCTCTCTCTCTCTCTCTCTTTCTCTCTTCTCTCTCTTTCTCTCTCACTTTCTATTTCTCTTTCTCTCTCTTTCTCTTTCTCTCCCACTCTCTCTCTCTCCTATCTCCCTCTCACTCTCTCGCTTTTTATCTCACTCCCATCCATTACTAGTTTTTACAATTTTCATTTAGATGTACACTCCAACTTGGTGAATTCTACCAAAAACCAACGATTTCCTCGGCAAATCGTTTGAAGAAATTAATTACAAGATAACCTTCATTATCCTGGGAGATTTTAACAGCATAATTTGACGGGCAACTTCAAGATTTATCGTAATTTCACAAAGGATCGCCTTTGCTGAGGATATCGGGCAGCGCTGGTGAGAGTATTACTCCGCACTCTATTGCCAAGATTACCAAAAACGGAAGTGATCCAGCTGGCGAACATTCAACAACATGGTCGATTGATAGCACGAGAAGCCTTTCCTGCACCGGAAGTAATGAAATTATCAAGCCGTTTTTCATACAAAACGTCAGGATAATCGGCTGATAAATCCAAGGGCCTAACGCGGAGAAGAGAATCTCATCGAGTGGCTGGGAAAATGAACTTGATGAAGAAAACTTCAAACCATGCATAGAAAAGTTGACTATGAGGCTCCATGGCCTCAGAGCCCCTGCATGGGTTCACACAATGCACGCAAAACTAGTAAAAAACCCAAGCAATTTGCATGGTCTTAGCGGTCGGAGCATGAGAAAAAGTTTCAATACCCTTCCGGAATACCCAAAGCTTCACTTCACCCGAATAACTCCCCATCCGGGAAATCGCGTGGTGCTTGCGAAAAACTGCATAATGAAGAAAGGGTATACGATATACAGAAACGCTAGAAATAAAACCTAAGGCTCAGACGGGCCGCGCTAAAAATAGGCACATTGTAAGCTGATGCTTGCTTCCTGGGGAGCTCGAGCAGACATCTCTGAAAAGCAATACAAAGCCATTTTGCTTGGGCAAGTGGAAAATTGAGAACCGCGCTTCGTCGATCACGAGCCCTCCTCAACGGCGGACCCCGGCTGAGGCGGAGCCGGCTCCTTAATCGAGAGATCAAAACTGGCATAGCAAAGCAATTAATGAAGAAACTATATAAGCATTCATTGGAAACGAATGCTTAGTCTCGAGTTTGAATATCAAATCGAGCAAGAGCCATACAGTGAAGAATTCGGGCCCCAATGGCTTACGCCAGAATGCTGAAAATAAACATCATTTCGACGAGATGATCAAACTTGAAAGTCCTGGTGAGCATGAGAATCCGCATAAATAATAGAAAAAGAAAAAACTTCGCTAATATTTGGATGACACTCCGATGGAAAATGAGCGGAGAAAGATCATAAAAATTTGTTTGAAAATGAAGACCACGGCTGAAAGGAGGCCGACCAAGTCGTGGAACGAGGCGTGGAACCCATATGGAGGTGCTGATAACTTCCCGGGGCTCATACTAGGCAGAATTTTAGGGTGCTGCTCCCTGTATGGCAAGCTTGCGAGGGCACAAAACCTTGAAAGAGAAGCCGCCCAAAACCAAAGTAATTTCCGCCACTGGGAAAATTAGAAGAACAAGCTAGCGAGCGTGAATTTTTTGGAAGAAGAAGAATAAGGCCCAATTCAGAACTTCACGCAACAAAAACGTTCTGAATGTCTAGACGGTATTGCGATTTCACCTTGGTGAGCCTATAGATTTTTCAGAAGGGCCCAAAACTGAAAAAAATTGAAGACGACCGAAGAAAATAAACGCTCATTTACGCTTGTTAATTTTTGGAAAAATCAGAAAGTTGCCAGCGAAGTGAAAGAAATTACGTTTGGCATATACGCGGTGAAAAGTTTCGCTTGTCAAAATATGGAGGTTGGGCAGCGTAACAACGGAAGAATCTTCTTATTCAAAACCTCATGCTCACTAGCGAATACACAAAAACGAATCCCGAAACTAATGTCTTGTCAGTGGCCAGATATTTGCTCCAAGTTTGAGGTATCGTAACGCTCCCACTACCGCACTAATATCAGGCTTAAAATCGAGAAAATACGTAAGCAAATGTGGAAATTCCAAACTAAAACCAATTCCAAACTAAACACAAAATTAATTCCAAACCTCATGCTCATTACCGAAGGAATATGAAAGAACCAGTCCTGAATGTCAAAACCTTTCGAGTGGGAAGCGATTATGCTCCAAGTTTGAAGGCATCTTAACTTTTCCATTGCCGCCCTAATAACAGACTTAGAGTAAAATGAGGAAGAATCAGAAATTGAAAACAACAACAAAAAACTGACGGACAACTTGATGGAAAAGGGCTGATAGGACCCACGCGACAAAAAAAAGTTCTGAATTACCAGACTGCTGTTTCAAATCATGTTCCTAAAAGTTAATTGAAGCAAAGTCCAAAAAACGAAAAAATTGAAGTTGAAGAAGAGTGAAGACAGCTGAAGAAGAGCCCATTGCCACCTGCTAATTTTTGCGGAAAACGCGAAGACTGACAGCCAAATGAGACCGACAATTTGATGTCGGTTGTTTCAAGTATTGCTTCGGGGCGGTAGTGATGTAAGCCATCACACTGACGTACTAATACCACGCTTGAAATTAAAAAAATACGGATGCAAACGAAGAACATCTGGAATGAAGTAAGCAGAACGGTTCGACGCGGCGCGGGAAGTACGCCACAGCCCTTGAAAGGAATTGGTCAAAGGTGAGTTTTTAATGATTGAACACTTTTACACACCTTTATTTTTTTAAACAGGTCAACTTATTTTAATAATTAAAATCTCAAAAAAGTCTGGCAGAATTTTGGTATACATAATTTGGGTTTTTATGCAAGGTAAAATGCTGCAAAAATTGGAGCATATAATTTGTTTCAGAACCGTACGCGTGGCAACACAATAACGCATTTTAAGATTTTTCTGAAGCTACGAAACGTTTAGAAAACGCTACGAAGAGCGGTTTAAACCTTAAAAACCAAAAATATCGATAGGAATTTTTAGCTTATATTTGTAAAAGCTGGGGCTTATCGGCTAAACGCGCTTAAGAATCTTGCTTGTTTGTAGCCGAAAAAAGTAAAAAATCTTCATTAATCAGCGCCAAAACCCGTATTTTTCCAGAGACAATCGCTACGTGTGGTTGGCCCTACGAAACGGGAGCTGGCTGATAGCAAGGCTACGACTACTGGATGGAAGACAAAGCACCGTGGTAACCTAACCACAGTCCCAGCGTTTCATAGCCGTTTTTTTTTAGTACGAAATTCTGCAGGAGACCGGCAGCGGGAACTGAACTTGGGACGATAACGGGATTACAGCCGGTCCGGGAAAATTGTTGGCTTGCATTTCGAATGGATGGTAAGCGATGCGATGAACGTATATAGATAAATAATAACGCCCTTTGAGAAATTAGGTGCTAGGTGCTAGCAATTTTTTTAATTGGGTCTAGACTCGTAACAAATATAGTTTGAAAATATTTTTAGAAATTTGTTATCACTAAAACACTAGGAAACTGATTAGAACATCTTATAGATCTGAAGTTTCTGACTACTTTTGCTCATGCTACAGACGTTTTTGGTGCAGGGCAGCGTTTTCTAAAGTTATGTCAGTTTTTAAACGTCTTTGTATATGTTTGTTATGTAATACAAACAGGGTCAAATGCTATCGAAGTCGGTTAGATTTAATTACTTCACGCTTAAGCCGCCGACGCAAAAAACATATGCTTTGTTCCCCCATTAAAATATTGCTCCGCCCGCTAACACGGAAGAATCGAAATTTTAAAGGAATGAAAAATATGTTGATGCCCAGAAACATCGAAATTTTCAAACTTAAAATCGTTAAATCCTGGGAATTTTTTGGAAACACTTTAACCTGAACTGGTTCTAGCAAAGACAAGATCACCTTCTAACACAGGGATTTGTAAATTAGAGACCTGAGTGCCCCAGTCGAATAGGCGATTTTCACAAAAATGTATGTCGCTTTATTGCTAATGACTCTAAAAGTCGGTTAGAATCGAATCCTCGAATTTTTCGTTTTTAGAAGGCCATCATCGTGCGCACATCTTCGATTTACGAAGCGAGTGGCGTGAGCAGGCACCAAAAGAGGGAAAGCAAAAGAGAAAGCTCTCTACATATCTTGCTTTTTATTTGAATAAAAGTTATTGAAGATATTTTGGTCCGCGCCAATCCAGGAATATGAAAATCCGAAATAAAAATCGCAACGAATTTGTTTGAGCGTTCCATGATCGGGTAGAAACTGTCATCGTTCTAAGCCGTTCTAAGAAGTCCTTTAAATAAGATTGTACCGTGCAAATCTTGCCATTTTCGAAGGCTTTTCCTGCCTGTCACCTCTCAATCTTGGGAACGCCGTTCGGTCAGCCAAAAAAAAAGCCACAGACAGAATCGATAGGCCACGCCACCGACGGCGCAAATGCAACATTGCCCTGTCATCTCTTTGATATGCAGTTTGGGCGTTTTCACGTTTGTATTGGCTTTTTCCACCAAATTAATTTGTAGCTTCTATATTTCAATATCTCAATTTAATTAAATTCCAAAGCCTGCCGATGGCGTTCCAAAACCCCTCAGAAACTTCTGAGAAAGCAGGCTTTTCCAAAAATTATTTTATGTTTTCTTTCACAAAAATCTTGCATTTCATGAGATCGTTTTGTTCATTAAATTAGATTTCATTAGATGTTGATTTTTCGACCATTTTGAATCGATTTTAAAATTTAAAATACGTTCAAAATTTGAAGATTTTAAAAAATGAAAAACCGATCAGCTCAAGTTTTAAAACTATTCCAGATTAAGCATTTTCATTTGTCGTTTTTTGTTCATTTGTTGAACGAAAAATATCTGATTTTTTGGTTTAGGTCAACGCCTCGATCTCGGGCAGTTCTACCACGATTTTTGCACGATTTCATTCCATGACTCGTCAAAATATTCAAAATTTTACACAATTTTTGGAAGACTTACTGTGAAAGGCAAATTTTGGCAAGCGACAAAATGTCAGGAGCCCGAAAACGCACGTGAGAGCAAGATCAGAAAAAGGAGACTCTGTTGTAACATGCAGAATTTGTCTTGTTTTCGAAAGGCTATCATAAAAGTAGTAGGCTAAAGCCTACAAACAGTCAAAAGATTTAAATCGTCAACTGAGCCCCCGGGCAGCCGTAAAACACTGCAAAATGCATTAAAAATTGCGAGACGGTGAAGACACCCTAGACCAGCTTCTCTGACTGCGAACCGGGCCAAATTCGCCGTGTAATTCGATCAAATCAATCCCCGCGTTCAGGACCATTATGGAAAAAAAGAAAAATTATCATCATTCCGCAGCACGGGACTTCAAAAAACTGTAGTCGGAATCTCGGAGAAATTCTCTTCAAATGACAGCGGAAGAGACCGAAGAAAGTCGTATTTGAAGCGGATCATCGGAGGAATGATCGCGAAGATGTTCTTGTGAAAATTTGAATATATACAACTTTAAAAAATGCGAGGCTAAAATCTACAGTACTGAGCATCAGAGTCGTCAGAAGCTGACGTCAGTTTGTTAAGGACAATCCGTACAATAGAATCGGAACTTTGGATGCAAGTGAAAATGCTGAGTTGCTTTTTCAAAAGGATTTGCAAATTTTTGCATATGCTATCGGAATAATCTACGTTTGCGAAGCAGTCCCAGCAGCTGGAGATACAATATACGAAGAAGCGGAAACGGTTCCCGGCGCACTTATGCGACAGCGAAGTGAGTCGAATCTTGAAGTGGTAGTGCCGAAAAAGCGACAGCTTTTCTAAATTATAAAAATAAATGCATCACCTTTCATTGAATCAAAAAGTTTCGGAAGGATACAAGATCGTAAGGACACGGTAACACAGTTGCCGACGCAACTGCGTTCAAAAGGACCCGGGCCAGGCTTCATCGTAGAGAAGAACCGGCATTGCATGTTTTGCATACAGTTTTGTAATTTTCGATGCCTCCCAATATGGCCGATTCACAACAGCTGAAAATGAGCGCAAAAACAACAATGCCCGGTGGGGCATCCACGAGCGTAAATGGCAGCAAAACTGAGGCAATAGCTTCCGACAGCGTTGCGTCAAAGGCCAGACACCGGCATACATCGTAGCTTCGTTCCAACTTGAGGCTAACGATAAAGTTGAAGCCAAGCGTCCGTGCGGCCCCTTGTTTCAGGCTACAGCCCAAAACTAAAATTTATATATTCATTTCTACGTTCTCGTCACGGCGAAAAATCCAGGATATACGGGGGTAGTGGCCGTCAAAATCGACTGTTTACAAGCTAGCACCAGAATTAACCCGCCGATCTCAAGCCAAAATCGTAAGCAGCGAATCAGACAGTGGATAATTTGAATGGAATTTCTCACCTCAAAATGAAGCAGAAAGAGGACGAAGAAGGTCAAAGCTGAACCAAATCATCGGCGGAATAGTGGAAAAAATGCTCGGTGAAAATTTGAATTGTCTATAAAGCTACAAATCTTGTAAGGCGCAAATCGACGAATATGAGCAGCAGTTTGTTTGCTCCAGCCGATTGATTGCGAAATCGTGACGTAACAGTACACCGCGGATTCAGACGAGTTTCATACGCTCTGGGATCATCTGCTTTTGCGAAGCAACCCCGATTACTAAGAGAATGAAGACTCGAAGAAAGGAAAACGGTGACGTGATGTAAACCCAAGACGCGAATCCGCCTCAAAACCTGCAGTGGTTGTGCCAAAAAGGGCGGAAGTGTTTGTTAAAGTGTCCAACTACAAACCTTTACCAAGAAGAATGCAAGAACGTGAGGATACAGTAAAATTCGGTGACGTAAGATAGAATAAAAGGGTCTGTTAACGCTAGTCCCTAAAAACGTTAATGCTCGCATGCAATGGATTAAATCGGAATTGAAAGATTTGCATCGAGTTTCTCGGCGTTTGACTTGTCCGTAACGTGCCAAAATAAGATACAATCAGTTCAGAATTTTAACAAGCTTGCTACACAACTTCATCGACCATCTGTGCACGGTCGAAAGAAAGAGTAGGAGGCACTTTCTGCAAATTTGGAACCGGAAATTGGGCTTGCGACTGGCCGGCTCCCCCGAGATTTCGGGCCATAAATTTTGAGCTCAAAGGCCAAATTACAAGGTTAACTCATGACGTATCAAAGCAAAACCCCGGAGTACCAGTGCAGCTACGTCCCAAACACAATAACGAAGCAACGGCCAAAAAAGAGACTGGCAGTCCCGCCGAAATCATGTGAAAAAGAAATGTAAAAAATTCTAAGTAAAAAAGAGCATCGGATGGATGGCGGATGTCAAGTTCTTGTATAGATTAAATTAGTTGAACCTGCGGGCATGCGTGGGATTCGAATACAAAACCGGCCTCATGTGGGCACCCAAGGGTATAAATGGCAGCGACACATGACGCACATGAGCGATACAGCGCTGTGACAAAGGAAACACGCGGAAAAACCTCATAGCTTATACGCAAAATTTTAGTAAAAAAAAAATTAAATTTACTGCCAATTCTACGCACTATTCACGGCGGAGGAGACCGGAAAGATCGGGCAGTGGCTGTCAAAATCTAATGTCTGCAGGCTTGAGTTGGATCGTTTGACTAACATCAAAATAAAAGCATGAAAGCAGATGCGTAGAAAAAGTGGATGTAGTTGCTCGAAGAGATTAGGAAGTTTAGAGGCAGTGTAGAATATGCGTGCATTTTGAATGCAACTTCATGGAGCACATCCTTACCTTCCAAAAAAGGAGAATCAGGGTAGATGCGTAGAAAAAGTTGCCCTTTTTATACGTTTGAAATTGGAAATTGGACCCAGCTAAATCTCTGGGAAAAGACAAGCCAACAGGATGCGAAAAGCGTCTTCTGACGTATGGTATACATCAAGTCCTTGTATGGAGTAAATTAGTGGAACCTGCGGCCTACACATCAAAACCTGCCTGGTGGTGTGAACAACAGCAGCGGGCACAACCTGAGCTAAACTTCGACGTGCTGAAATCAAGTCAAAACGCACAAATCCAACCGGTATTGGCCAAATTTGAAGACATTTTCGGAATTATCTATGCTTATCGCGTCGCGCCCGGCGTCAGAAAAATAAGAATAAGAATAAAGCACAAGTCGCTAGATTTACGACCTAATCGAGCGATGGAGAGGCATTTCCTCAAGTTCAAGAAATCGTTTCGCAATCGGTGAAAAACGTCTGCAATGTCAGTGAACGTCCAGTTCACAGAAAATCAAGCAGAGAAGAAGCCCAAAATCATGTAAATTGCAAGAACTTAAAGGAAAGCCACAGAAAATATACTTCTGGAAGACATCGCGAAGCCTCTAAAATTTGCAAAGAAGACGTCCGAAGTGATGGTGGATTGCGTTGAGTTATGAGATCGGAAATGGTGATGCTAATTCTTGAAGATGGCATGCAAGGTATGGTAGGTATGTCAAAGCTAAAATTAAATGATTAAAAATATACCGCTTTAAAAGATGTAAGCGGCATAAACGGTTACTGTTTTTTCGATATCCTAGCCAATGGATCAGCTGCCGCAACACGCAAAGCAAGGCGCGCGTTCCCTTTTAATTGCATAATGCATTGGCAGCTACGCCGAACCAAGCGGCGCGTTGCGTGTAGCGGAGCCGTATAAATCGGAAATCCGAGATTTTGAGTGAACAAAAGCCACAGCTAGCCCTTTCCTTTAAAAAGGAACTGAAATATCAGAATCACTAAAAGTTTTAGGCTCTGGCCTGCTGCAGTACGATCGACAATTTGTTTGAAACCTTGGATTTTGATGGTACCAATCCAACTTTTCCATAAGCAAGTGTTTGTAATCTCCATGTCCCACATATTTAACGCAAAAAAAACCTTTGCTTTCCAGGAGGCACTGCCGAAATACTCCTGCAATATGTTTTTGATGGGAGGAGTGCAATCGCTTTGACGATATCCAGTGCGTTCGGAAAGGTCGAGGTATCGTTGTGTTAAGGGGACCGATGAGACAATGTTACATACCTTTCGGTCAATAGAAGTAATACATCGCTCTTACTAGTGAAGTACAAATAAAAACCCAGCAAAACGCTTAGCAAAAATATAGCCCTGATAGAGTCGACTACGGGGTTTCCAAGCCTTTTGTCAAAATTTACAAAACGCTTAATTCAAAAAAGTACAGAATACATAGTAAGCAGCGGCGCGTGGCCGATCCCAGACAGAATCAAACAAATTTCCAGCCCTGCCTTGTAGGCTCCTCTAACTTAAAAATTGATGCAGGTGATTACATATCAATTTTTCCAGAAAAACTCAACCAGCGACAATCGCCAACATGAGAAATGGGACGCTGAAGGCAGAAAACTCCTGGAAACTCAGGATAACCTAGGAAGCTGAGTGCAACTCAAGCGGTTCGTGTGCACACAATAGGTATGCCATTAGTAGGCTTTATCAGCTTTTGATCCCTATCACTTTTATACAAATTGATATTAAATCGATCACGATTCCAGGAAAGTAAATGACTACACGATCAACCTGCAAAGCAGAAGTGTTCCCCACGAAGGAGGCAAATCTCCACTAACAGCAAGTGGGCACATACAGCCAGTAAATGGAATTGTAACCTAGGGTTGTGAGATGGAAAAGGTAGGAAAAAGTAGAGTTAGGTCGATAGTCAGATAAAGTAGTGGCCCAAAAAAATCCACATTTCCCGAAAATTGGAGGTTAGATCAATTATGTAGGGTATCCGATGGCATTTAAAAAAATCACAAAGCTTCTTCTTTCTGCAGTCTTTAAAAAGTTACAGCCCTTTTTCAAAATACCAATTTTAGTGAAAACCTTCTTGAGGACGCTCGTTTCCAGGACATCTACGGTCTACGACAGCTGATGAAACCGCGCAACTCGCCGCCATAGCTCATCCAGATCCTGGCATTGCCTGCTCAAACAAGCAACACGATCAAACCCACATTTGGGAAAATTTTTATGTTCATAAATATGGCTTTATGAAATGTGGAAGACTTCATCAAAGACACCTAATGGACTTTGGCGAACCAAGTGAAATGCTTTGTCAGAAACCGCAACAAATCCTGGGCGTTCGGAACGCTTTTCCTCTCTGTCACCTCTCAATCTGGCGTGGTTCTCGGTTTTTTCACCTAAAAAAACGCACAGAGAGAATCGATAGGCCGTGCTACCAAGACGCCAATGCAACATTTTCCTTGGTCAGGTGATTTTCTATACCTTGGTTTTGGCTTGGATCATATAATTTCGTAAATTCCATTTATTTTTGAATTTTTAAATACGACATTTGAGTTTAATTTTAATTTTACCTGTTTTAGTATGTAAAACTCCCATTAATTTAGCTCCAATTTTGACATAAATTGTGGTATTTCTCTTCTTTCTGTGAAGGTAACCGTGTTTAGGTTTACACCTCATTCGCGGTGAATTCTACCAAGCGTTTCGCACGATTCCATTTGATGTATCGTCAAATATTTTGATGCCATAATTGCATTCAGGAAGAAGAAGAGAAATCGAAAAATTGGGAACACACCCATACAGCAAACAAGATCCATGACGAAAAAACGAAGAATCCTGTTAGTTATTAGTTAACAAATACAGAAACAGTAACGCCGCCGTCAGCCAAGATATTGTCAACCATTTCCGGCCGGGCGTGCGCGAAGGCTTTTCGGGACGAAAAAACCCACCGGCATTCCTTAATTATAAGAAAAACATCATACTGGCTATCAATGCGTCGCCATGGCTAATTGACGATATGTGAAATCGATCATCGCAAATGCAAATTAGTGTATGAGCTGAATATCGACCAAATCGCCATGCCAACGCGGGTGGGGCACGCTATTATAAATGGAAAAGTACAGCGGGACGGGAATGTACTCAAAAAAAATTACGAAACCTGAAGCTCCGCAGATCGAATAAAGTTTTTCAACTAAAAAAATCACGGAAATTCAGAAAGTTCGTAGTATCCCGTGAGGCGAACTTACGAGACAATGGTATGTCAAGGGAGCATCCCCCTCATCCGACGACGTGTGAAGCTCATTTTTGCAGATGCAAAAAAGGTTTATGGACCTCAGATTTAGGCCAATCGCCGTGACCATAGCCCTGAGTGGGTTCGATTGTCAATGGAAAAACTAATGTTACACATGAAGGAGCGTGAAAAAGCCTCGGGAAAGATGTATCAACTTTCACATCAAATATATCGTGCCTGCGGACAGTAAGCAATCCTGGCAATACCGAAAGCAATCAACGAAACTATTTGACTGAACAATTGCTCCAGAGCAGCCCGGATCAAAATTAAACGCAAGAAAAAACTGCTGCGACCGGCGCCGGCGCAGAGAAGAGAAGTTCGCTTTTCTCTGTAGTTTGCTGCAAATATCGACGTAACGAAATCAATTTTGCCATAAACCGGAAGTACGCGAATGGAAAATTCTATTAAGCAAACCGAAAAGGCACCAGGAGCCTCTCTATACCAGTTGCTTAAACGATTCTGAGCAAAATCCGTGCTTTACAAAACGTATTCAACAATATTAAGGACATCGGAAAGTTAGGGATATGCAAAACAAATTCGATAAATCAAAGAACTTGAAAAATGAAAATTGTGGCAATAACTTTGCGCTTTCGAGACATTTCCAGAAGTTCAAGAAATCGTTTCGAAGTTGTTGGAAAAAACGCCAGCGAAAGCAGTAATTCGTCAAAGATGCGAAAAGTCAAGATGAGCTGTCGTACTGCTAAGAAAAACCTCAAGAAACTCAAGACAACGAATGAAACCTACTTTTGCAAGACGCGACCAGGTCTCTAAAATTGGTGAGGAAAATGTCTGATCCGGCAATAAGCGTATGCGCTGATGTCCCCCCCCCCCCCTTGAATGGTCCTTTGATTCACGAATGCGTCGGAAACCATAGGTAGGTTCACGTTAGAATTAAATTAATTTATGTGAACGGGCGGGATAAATTCTTCAGGGTCTTTCGATTTAGCCTATGCAGCAGCAATTGCGACACGCAACCAAACCAAACGCTCTCGTTTTAACGCGTAATGAATTGGCAGATACTGCGCTTTGTGTCTTGGTCAAAAGTCAAAATCCATCCAAAATTACTTGTAAAAAATCCATAGCCGACCCGTCGCTTTAAAAAGGAACGAAATTCGCAGAGAGGCGTATCGCTAGTCCAAAAAAACTCAAAAATTTGATCAATATGAACATAAAATTAGCAGTAGATTTAAATACCATTAAGAGAAAATGTTCAATCTAGTCGTGAAATCGCTCGCATTAAGATTTAATGTTGACATTATGATAACAAAACCTGTTTTATAGGGAAGAAGGTCGGGGCGCCTCTTTCTACCGGAAAAATGTAAAAAAGGCCCTTTCGTCATGTAACTTGGACGGTACCAGCACGTAAGCAAACTTTGTCGCGTTTTCTTTATTGCATTCGGGTCTTTATCTATATTAGCATATCGTACACTTGTTTTACAGAGAATTTTGAAAAATCCAGGACGACGCGAACGCAATTTTGTTCCTGAACAATGAGAGGACGATCCGAGCTGCATCTGATCATTAAGAGCCAGTGAAAAACCCGAGGTAATAAAACTAACTTCAAAATTGTTTTAAACTAAGAGAGAGCTGAAGGTGGGCAAATAAACCCCGTAAACCCACTAGGCCGCGGCAGCGACGAATTGCGACAAAAAATTTATTTCTATAATCCAAAAAGCTTTTTTAAGCGATGCGTTTTGAGCGGTGAGCACAATTTTTCTTTCAGCTTAAATATAATGAAATATCGAACAGATATTAGCGGTGGATTTAAATATCCATTAATAGGAAATGCTAGTTCTGAAAACACCGTAATGTGATTTAGACATCAGCGAACTCCGAAATGATGCTAGCAAATCTTGATTTATAGGCAAGAAGGCCGGGGCGCCTCTTCCTACCGGAAAAAATGTAAAAGAACCTTTCGGCATGAGTCTGATCTGGTACCAGTACGTAAGGAATTTTTTATTTTATCTTTATCGCTTTGGGATCTGAACCTATACAGGATACATATAAACAAGCACCCCTCCCGCATTTCGCCATTTACATCCGATTTCTCCCAAAATTGGACCAGAGATCTATCAAGCCACAAATAACTACAATCCTGAGTTATAGCCCGCCAGCTACAGTAATGTCCGAGACACGGCAAAAATAAACTTTATTATCCGTTTTTCATAAGGTTTTCGTCGGAATCGACCCTTCGAATACTAAGTGAAAATGAAGCGGCATGTCTTCTTTACACCTAGAAATTTTCCCTAATTAAGATTAATCAAATAACCGTTGATTTGAACAATTTTTGTAACCCAAATTCCTAATACCTAATTTTTGTACGCGGAATCGCACAATCTTTTACAGAGAATTTTGGAAAATCCAGGAAGACGCTGATGTCTGTTTGTGTCCGGGCAGTAAGAGGACAATCCGAGCTCCACGTTAAGGAGCGGTGACAACCCGAGGTAAGAAAATTAACCTTAAAACCTTTAAGACCCAAAAAAGGGCTGAAAGTGTCTAAATCAACCTCGTTAGCCCACTGGGTCTCGACAGCTACGAATTACGACACGAAACTTATTTAACCTCATCATAATAATGTTTTTCTAAGCGATGCGTTTCAAGAGGTTATCACATTTTTCTGAAAATTGCGGCCTGGTACGCCGCTGTCTAGACCTAGGGCGCGGATAGGGAAGATTCTGAAGTCTAAAATAGCCGATAAAAAAGCCTTCAAAAATTTAATCAAAACGAAGTTTTTTTCCAGATACTGCACTCTGCTGCCAATGACACGAGGGTTTAAGAATATAAAAATTGTGGAGTCCGAACTTTTGCCAAATTTTTTTAGTATAGAGCCACAATAGCGCACGAACTCTTTTGCAGTATGGGAATAAATTTTAGATTATTCTACGGATGTATTACACACAATAAACTTGGTTAAAAAATGATTTTTAAGGCATTTAATTCGTAAGAAAGTATTTATTCATAACCCGTGTTAATATATATGATAATAGGTGGAAAAAGTGCATAATTTAATGGTTTTATTTTCGTCTGGAGTTGTTTCAAATAACTAGTAGATTTTTGGGAATAAGAGGATAAAATTTAGGGCCTGCTAAATTTCGTTTTACGTACTAACACCACGACTTTGCCGATAAATGCTCTTTCCACATGTGATTTGCATATCAGCCCGCATGCACACGAGGGGGCCCTTTCAATCGATGCAATTGGCACCAGCTAGCTGGGCGCGGTGTAACAAAACGCGAGCTCCCTTACTACGGCTTTTTCCTGCCTATGTTTTTCTTTTTCGACGAGCTCAAAATGCCGGGAACAAGCCTTGCATCTCTTTTCTCATGCTACTTTTTAACTTGGATTTTAATTTGGATTCGTTAGAATCTTGAGCTGATCCATCAAATAAGGCCCTGCGTTCTAATATCAAAAAGCTGGTTTTCTGTTGATTTCTGACCTAAATTGGCTTAAAGAATAAATTTTTACTTTTAATTAGGTTTTTAGCGCTAAAACCGCTCAAAATCACCCAAAATTAAAGTGTAAGACTTAAACAATAACGCTTTTGTTGAATATAACTTTTGGCAAAACAAAATTCCAAGATTCCGGAGACTAGGAAACATTGGAAGATAATAGAGGCTCATTTTGTCCAGTAATCCTGTATGGTCTAACAAAAATAGTCCATTTTATAGCATTTTAGACAGTTTCTAGATATAACCGGTTCATAAAAACTTATAGAATTTCTCGAAAATCAAAAATACGGTCAAAGGGGGGCAAAATTTTCAAAAATGTTGAAAATCCTTTTTGTAACTTTCTAGCAAAAAAATTTTATGAAAGACATTATAAAAATAAACTATTGATTATACCTCCTTATCGTATCCTTTCATTTTTAATCCGGAACGTTACACCTGTTTCGGCTCTTTTTGGAAATACTATAATAAAATAAAATTAATTTTACAGGCGACTCAACTCGGGGAATTTCACCAATTAACGATGGCTTCTCATCAAGCCATCCAGCAACCCATTGCAAAAGGATGAAAAATCTCTCTCCAATGCACTAGATTGAATTGCGTCAAATTGGCAAGCGTGCCCGACAAAAACTGGGGACCATGCTTCAGAATTTGGCATCATCGAGCAGAAACCTTCATTATACGGCTACTGTCTGCCGGAAATACGTAATTTATGAAAAATTCTCGACTATAGGCACGGATCAGGAAGAAGAGCAATAGCCACGCAAGAAAGAATTTCGTACGGTGCGCAGAATCGTATTAAATTACAAAAAAATTTGCATTAAAGATTTATTCGCAGCTACCAGCTGATCCGTAATGCCACATTCATTCCAGCCGGATATGGCTTTGCGAAACGTGTCAGTTGAAAAATGTAAAAGGGTTGGATAAGACGGAAACGATCTGGGTATCGACTCTATCGATATTTGTCGTTGAGTGTGGGGATTAGGAAATCCACCGAGATCTGGAGAACAAGGGATCCAACAAGGAAACCTTCACGCTAGCCAATTTTCGAGACAAACTTCATTTTGTGAATATGGCTGCAAGATTGAAAGTCAACAAAGAAAAAAGGATGAAACGAAGGATAAGCTCGACCCAGACGGCAGCCTGCGCTGGAGTCCGGAGCTTTTTGTCACGCTTGACAAAAATTTTACACTCAACGCGGAGAATTCGCGAATTAACGACGGTTTCTCAACCAAAAAATGAAGTAAATCATTCCCGCAACTATCGATAGCGAAAAAGGCCGTTTTTCCATACATTCTGAAAATTATCAGCGCTTCAATCAATACAGCGTTTCAGAAAGCATCGCCTGAAAAATCGCCAACCGCATGGAAGGAAATCACAACGAGAAGAAGCGCAAGGCGTCCACAGATGACGACACTGAAACACTACCGGACGCCCAGAAACGGCTGACCCAACAGGTACTCGTCATCTCGGATGTCGTTCAGGAACGAAACATCAATCAACGCAAAAAACTCCGGACGTCCCTTTAGAGGCAACTGCTGCTGGTGCCACGCGAAAGGAGTGCACAAATCCCGCGATTGTCCAAACCCCAAAGGAACGAGGAAACAAAATTGGTACCAGCCTATTCGCAAATCTAAACGGCACCTGGATCGGAAAAGATAAAAGAGAAAAAGGAAGAAAATGGATCGATAAAGGAAAATACGAAAACATCGTGGAAATTTTTCAAGCCGCTGGGAAGCCGAGTCGGACGTTGTTCGAAACCGAAAGCGTGCCGAGGAACAACGAGATTTCCTGAAAAAATAAGAATGTTACAACCTATACGGCAACATTCTCCAAACGGAAACGTCGATACCAACACGGATGCTCATATCGAAAAGTCTTCAGAAGCTGATAAGTATCGAAATATACTTTTTGCGAATTCTCACGAGATGCGAACGAAAGGAGCGTGCCCTCTCTATTGGGTCTCTCTGTGCGGTATTCTCATCAAAGTAGGAGAGCTCTGCACGATGGGGATCCGAGACCTTCATTTATTTTTGAAGAAATGAAGAGAATAAACCGAGCTAAAACCCCCCGACGAATTTGAAGGACGTTTTTTCTTTGCTATTGGCGTATTCTCGAGACGAAAAGGCAAACGAATCGCAAAGAAAACACGGAAAAACGTGTATATTTTGCCAAGCCGGCTCAAGGATGGCATCACGGACAATATCCCGAAGAGTACGGTACGCGAGCGAAGAGACTTTTTCACAAAACGAGAACCGTGCTAAACTCCAAAATTGTATGGCGACGACAGAATTAGACGGCGCGACAAACGGCACCTTTTTCTCACAACGGCACAAATGGTGCCACAGGTGTTTAGACGTAAATAATATACAATTACGAGAGACTACTGTCACCCTCATCGGCCGCCTATGCGCCCAAACAGAATGCGTCGGAGATCGCTTGGCCCAGAATCCAAATGTTTGCCGGAGGTTGGTTCCTTTTTGGGCTTGGTACTTAAGAGTTTTACTGTAATGGGTTCTCAAAAGGGATCAAAAAGACCCAGATAAAATTAGCATGAAACGGGCGTTGATTCTAAAAGTTAGAATAAATTTCTCTGCTCCCTCCTTCCTTGCCTCACCATCTGCCCTTTTTTGAATTAGCATTTCCGGTTGGCTTGGGGCCAATTATAGGTTAGCATTGATTAAAGTTTTAAAACCCTTTTGTTTTAAAGTTTTTTTTTAAGTACACTGCAAATTCCGTTTGAGTCCAAGCCTACCTTGGGCGGAATTGTTTGCTGATTCTGTGTATAATTTTGTAACTTGCGGAAGATTGGGATTTTGAAAGTTTCGGCTCTTTTGTCAGATTATTAGAAATTAGCTAATCTAGGTCCCCCTAAAAATCCAAAACCAGTAACATAATTTTGGAGCCTCCGGGTAGCAAAACTTCTCTTTGGAATGAGTTTTAATGGAATAAAGAATTGGTTCAATTTTAAAAATTAAGTTATTTTAAGATTTAGGAAATTTAAGACGGCTCGTTATCAAGATTTCGTTGCTGTATCCACAAAAAGAACACTTTTTCAGGTTTGCGCCTCTAAGGAAGTTGCTAGTGGTGCCACAATAATAGTTCATCTCGCCAACCACGATGAAGCGATCAAAATTAGACAACTAAGCAAGATTGATCGTAAGAACACTATGTTCGTAAAGCGTTTTAATCTAGAGCCCACATCAATAAATCATTAAACATCTGATAAACTGCACCCAAAAACTTGCCAATTTGCATGAAAAATTTGCCATTCAGATGGGTCGTTTTCTTCGCAACGCACTGTTACGGCTTAAAGAGATCAGGAAAGCACGATTAAATTAAACGTATACTAACTTAACACTTATTACAATTAAACGTATACTCAACTTTACAATTTAACTTAACATTGAGCATAAATCGTCTCTAATCCCTCACACTAGCCCACTACCTACCCCGTATTTTGCATTAGCGTTTTCGGTTTGCAAATCGCCAATTGTAGATCGGCCCTGATCTACGGGGCCTTCCCTATCCCTGTAAAGCTTGTGAAAGAGGTAGAAAAAACGTAAAGAATTGCTGTATGGAGCACCTTTCCTTTCAGGCACCTCTTACTCATTGGCGCGTGGTTTGCGTCCGATTGGCTGACATACAAAAAGGGTCAATGCGTCACGCCTTGCGGGTGCTCTTGTAGCATTTACCGAGGTGAATTTATACCTAGCAAACGTTCACTTTTACTTCCTTTTTATTTTTGATGCTACCAACCGTTTTAAAACCAAAAATTTTTGAGCTCGATTTCATGGCATTAGACTTGCGAAAACTTGCTACGTAATATTGCTACTTTCGAATTAACGGGTAGGGGGTTTGTCCAAGCGCCGAACCAACCTTTTTCGTTTTATTATCCGGCTTCGATATTCTACGGTCTCTCAGTTTTTTACTATACTATTATTTGTACTATTTGTATTGAAAAATACAAAATCATTGGTTTTAGATCAAGTTTTTTAGATTTTTCAATAGTTCTTTTAATTGGAATACAGTTGAGCTTGACGAAACCCACTATTAAGCTTTGTGAATAGTGCTTCATTAAGACGTTATGTATTTCTTGATTTAGACAAAAAATTTAGGTAATGTTCGAGCATGAAAGCATGAAAAAGCACAAATTTTAACGATCTCGAGCTTCGTTATGACTTCACCGAGGGCTAAACTTTTTATTTTCTTTTTTCCTTTTTTTCAATCCTAAGTGTATTCTTTAAATTTTTAGACACTTTACTAATTCAGATTAACAGCTCATCCTCGGGAAATTCTGCCAAAAATCCAGCGATTTCGTTCAACAATCGCGGTATGATTTTCATCAAGCATAATCACAAAAAAATGGACGCTGTGGTCAATACTCG